CATATCTGCTGTGGCCCCCATCACTCATTAAGTGTTGCAAAAATAATATTTCGTGGAAGGTGTCGAGTTTATTGTCACCCTCGCTCTCGCTTTCCTCCAGCTCCACATCGTACGAGATTTCCTCGCTGTCGCACGACTCTTCGTAGTCTCCACTGGAATCCCCCCCGTCGAAGAGATCAAAACGGCCAAACGGTCCGCCGCTCTTAAACATCATCTGAAATGCGGTCTCCCCCATAGGGTCTCTTCTCGCGACTCCGAACGGCACTCTGCGTGGACCAAACATGGATTCGAAAAGCTCGAACAAGTCTTCTTCAGCCATATATTCCTCACCCTCATCCTCACTTTCCCCTTCGTCCTCTCCTTCATCTGGAGCTGTAATCCGTTTATAAGCGTTACTAACCCTTTGAAAAGCTGCCTTGGCGTCTGGTTTGTCAGGATTGCGATCCGGGTGTGTAGCTAGGGCTTTAACGCGGAAGGCCCTTCTCACCTCCTCTTCGCTTGCCCCGACGCGGATTTCCAGCACTTCATACGCATCCTCCAGCCTCATCTTCATGCCCTTTATCAACCTGCCATTTGTTCGCGGGAAGCGTTATTACCGAAGGATATTTTGTGTGTGCTAAAGGCGAGAATAATAAGACGTGACGCTCGTGTGGCAAACCCAGGAAAAAAGCTTACAAGACGCCCCCACCCCGAGAACGTCGGCTTCAGCTTTTCTTCCTTTCCATACGGTCGTGATTTTGTCTAATTCAAATCAGTGATGACGGAGATCGCCACAACGTTTGCGGACATCCTAGGTCCTGGCAATCCATTTTTGTATTGTTGAAACCAACCACCGAAACGAACATTTCAACACGCAACCTGGAGCGCACGGTCTGCAAAACCTCCCCTGATCCTCGTGGGATGTGAATGAACGCCGATCGCCCCACTGATGCATAGCAACACGCACGCAATGCGCAGTTCGATTCTCGGAGAAAAGAGTGGAAAAACAGGATCCATCGCGAATACGCCCTGCTTCGGAAAGAAATCATTACTCAAAACTTGTTTCGGGGATCGACACTGGCATGTTTCTTTCCCCAAATTTGCCTCGATTATCGTCCATACTATGGAGCGCAAAGGCTACGGGTGTCTCTTTCTAAGAGGTTGACTATACGTGGTACGTACCCTAGCTTCCTCCGTTGTATGGTCGGAAACTTTTCAATTAGATCTCCGTGTTCTTTTTTTGGGCGTGCGGGCAGCGTCACATGCGAGGAACAAACTCTCTGTGAAACGGGTGGCGCTGTTTTTGTCTAACTCGAGGACAGCCGAGTCGAATCCATCGTGTCGATACCTGGCTTTACAGCCGTCTGCCGCTAAGCGAAAGAGGGACGCGAACCGATGCTTGACCACCTCCCCCCGTTGGTCCGGGCAGGAGACGCCGACGACCAAGTACGTGCTACGACGCTCTGCGAAGATAAGAAGAGGCTTCGGTTTCCACAAAGTGCGGCCACTCTGGCTCGCTGCTTGCTGTCGCATCTTTTCTTCCCGGCTGACATCGATCATTAGGTGGGCGAGGCGGGAAATGGCCATCGGTTGGGTGAGCAGGTAGTCCTCCGCTGACGCCAGATTGTTATGTATCACAGCCCAACGAAAGTGGTCGAGGTTTCGAACGGCCTTTTTGTCATGCAGAGAAACGGCAACACGGAAAATGGCCTTTTGCAAGGCCATGGCGAGATGGATACCCTCGGTCAGCTTCGCCTCATCTCGACCTGAGAGCGCGTCGTAAGCCTCGTGAAAGCGAGCCACAAAGAGCCGCCCTGTCGCAGCTGCCTCGTCCTCCTGATTTACACCTGTGACGTTCGTGGACGCTCCTCCAACAAGAGATGGATCAGTGTCGCTCCCTGCGGGGCCTTGCCAGGCCTCCAGCAGGGCAGCCACACCGTAGACGACGTCCGAGGCGCTGACGGCGGCCCCGTAGTGGGTGCGGCGATGAAAGGAGAGGTAGAAGACTTCATCGAGTCCAAACTCTTCGTGGTAATTGTCCAACTCCTCGCGTAACTGAGCCTTGAGGTCGAAATCCATGTACTTGAAGTTTTCACGACATTGGGCGAGAGAAAACCCCATTTTGGCTAAAAGCTCTTCTAGGCGCTGCTTCCCATGGGACCACCACACCAGCAGCTTAGAGGCTACGTAAGGAGAATGATACATGCTCTCGTAAAGTGACCAGTGCCGGTAGAGCATAAACTGATAGTCAAAATCTGCGACGATGCGGCCTGCTTCGCTGGTGGGTACTAGCGTCCCATCCGATGCTTCAAAGCCCGTCTGCATTTGTGCCTGGCTCGCTTGAACCTCAATTTCTAGACCCTCTACCATCTGCCGATAGTGTACGTGCTCGATGCGCTGGTGCACGAGAAGGTCGGTCAGGCCTACGATTGCGAGCCAGAGCGTGTCCCTCGAGTCCCGGTTCACTTCCTGGCTGAGGCGGTGCAGGACCAGCGCCGAGGGCGCTCCATGAAAGGCTCCCATATAGTACTGCTCTATACGTCTCCGTCTTTCCCGTCGAGCTCTGTTTTCTTGTCTCCGTTTGAGCCGCGCTGGCTCCCGCGCGCCCAAGCTAGACTCTCCCGTTCGTTTTCCTGGCTTATGTGCCTGGCGACTCCGCTCCGAACCAGACTGTGATGTTCCGTCCGACTCGTCAATCAAAATGCCACCCTCTTCGTTTTCCTGGCCACTTTCATCTTCGCTTTCGTCGCTCTCTTCCTCTTCACTTCCGTGCAGCCCGTGGCTCTCCCCGCCCACGTCACTTTCATCCTCCGAGGACTCCTCTGCTCTTCTGCCTCTCTTTGCTATACCTTCCCCGCGCTTCTTATTGTGTCTTGAGTGTTTCCAAATTTCTACCTCTCGTCCTTTTGCATCCTCCAGATCCAGTTCGTCCTCGCTTTCGAGCTCGGAAAACTCTCCAACTTCCTCCCGTCGTCGCCGCCGTTCTTCCTCGTCCTCTGAGGTCGCATCCCCTATCGTGGGTTTATCATCACCCTCTCCATCCATGCTCCCTTCTTCATCACTATTCTCACCACCGCTGAGCCCTTCTCCGTCGCTTGGTATGCAGGTGAGGTCCATGTCTTCTTCTTCATCGTGCAGGACGAACACACGCTCGCGCTCGTAGATGTTAGCCAGGTGGATTGGCCTGTGGGAGTCAATCACGTAACAAGTCAGATTAAGTCGATCCCATGGCAGGAGATTAGTCACATTGACAATGGCCCCACAATTGATAAGCACGACGCTTCGGATGTCATTGTTGCTCTCGCTTAAAGCCCGCAGCAATGCAGAGGCGTGCGAATAGCCGGAGACGGGTACCAGCGAGTATGCCACATTATCCGTCCGCAGCATGTGCGTCAAAATACGACAGGCACATAGTCCGTCTACGTCTGCAGCAACAAGCACAAGCACTGTGCATGCCCTGTTTTAAAGGAGCAAAGTATTGTGAAGGAAGAATACACGTCATTTTAAAGCTCAGCGAGATTGGATTTCAGAGTAGCATATTTGCGTTTGTAGGGACTACATAATGTAAGAGCGCCTGTCTCCACACACAGAGACCCTTTCTTGGTATATTTTATAATAAATAATGAGTAAAGAAAGAAAGAAATAGATACGTGTCGTGCGTCGATTGGGGCGCGGAGGGATACGCCAGGTGCCATCATAGCTCTGCTTCCCGAAAGTAATAAAATAGAAGAAAAACATCAACCCATAAAGAAAGCTTACCCCTCAAGCGCATTTTCTCGAATATGCTGGTAAATGTCTTCAAATTGATGCAGGAGCATGGCTCTTCTTGGGGGAGAGGGGATACGCGAAGAATTAGTAGGATCTTAAAGATGGCGTGGCGTCCCTCAGGCTGCCTAGTCAGCCCAGCAACCATTGCCACTTTTCGCAGGCCAATCGTGTGGTGTAGGCTCCTTCATGAAACGTGGATGCCTTGACGCGGCTCTTTCACGAAAGCCCGCCGACCGAAAACAGCAACTCAGAGCCTTTGTCGGCGAGGGAGGGCGGGAAATGATGGGCGGGCGAGAGGGTCGGTTTTCCTGCCTCGCCGTCGCCAGCTTTTTTAATGAATTTTTTGGAAAAAACATGCATAGCCGGTGGCTTGAAGGGATCGATGCGAAAATTATCATGAAATTGTCTGGAGAAAAACAAACGAGTAGTCCAATAAAGCCGATTTCTTCTCCCCCTGCAGCTTTGTTTGGACTTTTGAGTGGCATCGTGACACGTCATGGTCTTCCCCCTTTCTTCGTAACTTGGTATTCTTCAGTACGTCCTTTTCATGCGCCACTTTTGTGATATCAGAATGACATAAAAGATACAACCTCAACATTTAAATGTAAATAATGACGGTGAAACAATATATATATCTCAAAGCAGTGATCTGGAGTAAGTACTCACTCAGACTGGAAAAGCATCAGCCAAGCAAGTGGCATGTCAGAAGCAGTCCTCAAGAATATTGAGAAAGAACTGCCCAAACTACAGGCTGAGCTAGCAAGTATAAAAGAAGCTGCACCCAAATCTGAAGCTTTGGTGGATCTTATCGATCATATTGTCAAAACGCACGAGCCATTTTACGAAAGTGCCATTCCCAAAAACCCCTGGCTCAAACCGGCCACCGGCCCCTGCTGCTGTTTGCAGTAAAACGAAAGACAAAGTCGATAATATTCACCAAGGCATAACAATCCAAACTGAAACAATAATACGAGCATCAAATCAAAGAGGAGGGAATTCCGATCTCGGTCTATCGACAAGCCGTCAAGGAAAGCTCCGTTTTGTGAGAATTTCAAGCGGCAGAGCTACATCTTGGGTCTCGCGGACATCCTCTGGAATAAATCTGTGCGCATGACTACATAATGTAAAGAAAACGACAAATTAAGGCCTCAAACCGAGTCATCATGGCATTGAAGCCCACGCTTGACTCTCTGCCTTCTATCCTTTTGTCCCGTACCCTGCGAGAGACTTCTTTTTCCGCGAAAACCTGGTCGCTTAACTTCAACGCTCAAGCTCAAGTCTTGCAAAGCTGCATGCTCCCCAAAGAATACTTTTCCTTCCTCATCAATCGCGTGTAAGCCTCGTTGACATTACAACATCATCATAATCTAACAAATGGAAGGTGAGATAACCCGAAAATTTCTTCAAGCCTTTGTCTGGCCTCGCCTTAGTAGATGCTTCCCGGTAAAGGCTTCACAGCTGTGCAGTGTACTACGTGTTCATGGTCTTCTTTAAAGTTGTACTGCATACATGCGACTCGTTTTTTGGGGTATTCTTCACACTCTGCTCCATTAAACTACGGTACGATACACTAGTTGCTAGGGCTGGCACCCATTTGCATTTTCTGGCATTATGTGGATTTTGATCGTGATCATAAGTGCACTGAGCGGGGCGGCGTTTCTGTACTGGCTACGAAGTCGCCTTCAATGCGGGATTCAGCGCCGTGGTGATGATGCTGACATGCTATCGTTTCAAGCTGCGTGCTCCCACGCTCTGAGTGGCGAATGCTTTTCGTGGTATCGACAGTCTCGTACATCATCGCAATCATCATTTATTACTGGGAGAAGAAGTGGTGGAGTACGCCGATTGATCGGACATCAGATTGCAGTCGAGGAGGGCATTGCGCTGTCTCGCAGGGGCACGGATTCTTCCCGGCTGCAACTCATGTTAATGGATCGGGATTTCTCAAGCGAAGACTACGAAGTTTTATCACGGCTGGATGAGGATGAACAGGACGCTTGCCACTTGTTGGGAGCAACCGATGCAGAGCTGGAACGACTACCCACGTACATTGTGGATACAGAAACTAAGCTAAACAAATGCTTCATATGTTTAAACGACTTTTTGAAAGGCGAAGTTGTTAGAATCTTGCCATGTCTGCATCAATTTCATCAATCTGAGTGCTGTGATCCGTGGTTGAGACGGAAGATGGAGTGCCCAGTGTGCAAATTCAGGCTATAGCTCGTGCACTTTAATTGCCACTTGCGCAACTCTCGGCTACGTATGTAGCTGTTTAAGAAAAGCCTGATGCGTGCAGCAAAGAACCCTCTGTAAAATATATCGAAATGAAATAGCATATGTAAGTAAGACATGTATATCGACTATGGCCAATTTGACATTTGATCAAAGTAAAGATTGGTTATACATATATATATGTATATCTTATATGTATATATAATCATATATATAACAAAGCAGTCAGACAGCGAGTTTTTGGGGAGGCTTTAAATATAATCACCAGCCGTTTTAGCAAACACTTCCGCCTTCAGCTCTTTGGGCCTTCTCACCAACCGCTCTACTTCAAGTCGAATGACATCTCTCATTCCTACGCCCTGTTATTATTTGCATTGTCGTCTCGCATGATCTCGCGTTTAAAGAAAGGATTTTGTGTAAGAGACCAGATTTCACACTCTCCTTTCAAGATGTTACTCATGCTCGCGTTTGCATCGCTGTTTCGACGGCAGCGGTGCTATCCCTCCAACTTTTGGATGACTTTCGTAGCCCCTTAACCCATTTTACAACACTCTTCAGCTCAGAATCAAAGTTAAGGGAGCCTCGATCAAACTTCATAGGCAGCATGTACCGAACCAGAACATAAGTTATACGGAGGACGAGGTGGGACGTGCAGAAAGTTCGACAGAATAACGCATTCGCTTTATTCCAAAGCTGTGTTGCCAGCTGGGTCATCCATACTTTGTCATTTAACTTGCTTTCTACTATACACGCGTTTATTTGTGGCCTTTGGTATTGCTCTCCTTCTCCGCCTCATGATGTATTGCCAGCTCATCCTCTCCTTTATATCGTCTCCTTCTACACACCCATACTTCGATCAGCTCATGAAAACCCTCCAATACGCTCAGTCTCTTGCGTTTGATAGGCTTTATTGAAAAAAGCTTTCCAAGCTCTTTCACGAAGTGTTCTTGCAGCGCCTTGTCTCGCTCTTCATTCCCTAGTAAGATTGTGCTCCGTGGGCCTGACACAGCGCTTGTAACATATCGGTGACGCTGTGAGAAAGCCGCTCAAGACATCAAGGGTCTTTCAATCACCGAAAAACGGCATTTGTAATCGAGCGTAAAGTGAATTTCGAAGGCGGGACTTCGTACCTGAGAGACTGAAGGAAAGGTTCTACTTGAGCAATGTCGTAAATACAATCAGCTCCCAAAATTAAATCGTAAGGTGGCTGAAGGCCACAATCTTCGGGAGCTTGGCCCCATACATACTCTTTCACTTGCAAGTCAATTTCACGTTTTCCTGTGTCGGTAGTGAGGAGAAGGCAATCAAGCCAGTACCTAAATTTCTGATCGCGCACCGACAAGTCGCCTCAAAGCGAGTTGTGCAAGATATTCTACGGAAGAGAGCAACACGGACATCTTCTGCACGAAGTTGAATGTGAATTTTCTTGCCTGCAGCCACGCACCGTCCTGTAATACCATGCTGGGGATGTATTGAGCATTCTTCTGCAGGTAAGGGAGGACCGAACCCAAATCAGTCAAAGTAACCTGTGCACAGTTCTCTTGTAACGCGCAAACGATGCCTGCCAGACCTAAACCGGCTGAGAAAAGGAAGAGTGAGAAATGTCAGCGAAATGCAGGAGCACATTAAAAAATAGCAAGTGGAAATTACTATGCAAGTATACCTACCACCCAACTCCAAAACTCGCAGACAATGCTTGCTTTTGTTGAAGAGACCCTTTTCTTGCTCCAAGTACCTTTTATGGATGTTGTTATCCAGATTAGGCAACGGGGATTAATGAAAAAAAACACCCACGCGTACGTTCAAGCAATATTCAGCCATACCGAGCTAGCACTAGGCCTGCACTCCACAGCGTCGACCCACAGTTGTATGATCTGCGGCTCTGATGTAGGACCAACGTGTGGTGGCAGATATCTAGCGTGACCGTAGTCTCCTCGTTTTCCCTGGTCATCTGCGTGAAGTCTCGTGTGAGTTGGGATGGAGCGTGGCGAGGACCGTGACTCCGTTGTACGCTCGAGCAACCTCCTGGCTGCAGGTCTGTCCCTCCCTGCATATACCAGTGGCCGCCGCGCCTCCTGTCGAACATCCCCTGCGACTACACGTCGTGCCCCCTTTCTTTTTCATGTCATGTTGTCGGTATCGTAGCTCCCACCAAGACAACCATGATATCCAGCATCCGTTTCACAGCACTTTTCTTTTTTTGCCTCCTATCATGTCCAAGTGCGTTCTCTTCCGCCTCCTTGCTCGTCTCACATTGCACTGCTCGTGTGGCATGTACAATATCAATCAATCCAACTTTTGTACCGATTAGCAGGTATTGTTAGAATCTATGTCATTCAGAAAGATTTTTCGCGGGTTTAGCGTTCTGGCTGCGGTTCTTGTCTGCTTCAGGTACTGTAATATGGAGTGCATAAGAGTGGGCGGGCCATCTTGCTCGACGCTGATCGGATCCCTCGACCTCAAGGACGGTCTTCGATGTTTGAAGTGCTTATACACCGATACTCATAATTAATTCAGTGGCCGTTCTGGAAGCGCTCCCGTGGGCTTTGTCACATCCCCCGTACACCACACTGCCGCCCTTAGTAAGTTTGGAGGGCGCTGTCAAAAGCGATTTGGCCCCCCTCAACAAGACCTTCTCACTTCCAGGTTTCAATGCGATAGGGACAAGGCCTGGACTGCGCCAATCAGCATTCATTTTACAAGGGTCCGAGGTAACACGCTTGTTCATGTTGCATCATGGCACTAACATTCATTCAGGCTGAGAAAGCTGGTTCAACATATTCAAGGTCCTGGCAGGCAGCCACTCTCTTTTCAAGTCAGCCACCCCTACTTGTATTGCTTTGCTTGTTGGATAAAGGTTGATTTCGGAAAGTTTTTATGTCTGATGCCTTTCCTTGAACAGTCTCATGAACGTGAGGGGCAGCACGCGCCGCTCTATTTCTGGAAAGAACAACATTCGGCCACCATCGCTGCTTCCAAGCAGCTACATATGCTAACGAAACATAGTGAAGAGAAACATGGGGCAGTGGAGAGGAGTCTGGGGGGCGTGATTGTGAAAGGGGTACGTATTTATGGTATCGAGTGAACATTTTTTTCATGCAACAAGGATGATCGATACTCGCTTTTATCGTAATGCTAGTTCAAAAAAGTTGGGGCCGTGGGATTGGCCGTGGCATTGACCGGTATCGTTCTTATCGCGGGTATGCCGATTGGTGCCCATGCCGCCTCTGCTTCACTGGCTGATTTGACGGCCGGCGCGTCGCTATCTTACAACAATGTTGTGGCAAAGCTGGCGGCCTCAGGCTTTCTGCAGGTATGAAGACGCATTGTAACGGCAGGACGCACCACAAATCCAATTTCTTGACATGAGATCGTTCAAAACCTACTTTCTACAAGGCCTTCTCGCTCGTCTTCGTGTCGGAGATCGGGGACAAAACTTTTTTCATCGCGGGCTTACTGGCCATGAAGACCTCGAGGCTTATTTCTTTCACGGGGTCTATGGCAGCCTTATCTGTAATGACAATCATCTCTGTGCTCATTGGGCAGGCCTTCCACGCCATTCCGCAAGGGCTGGGTGGCGGCTTCAAGTTCGACCAATGGGTGGCCGTGGCGGCCTTCTCATACTTTGGATTGAAGACTCTCAAGGTAAGACGAGCGCTCACACTTAGAAGCGAGATCCTTGAAGATCTTTTTTGCATATTTTCTCCTGTACGTACACATGTGCCGCCATTGCGCGACAACATCGCGGAATGTGGAGAGGGAATCTTGGCCGTGTCCATGTGTCTTACTTCGCACTCTCTGGAATGGCTTCACTGTGGAACAGGACTCGTACGACATGGCAGACGGAGACTCGTCTGGCGTTGACGAAGAAAGGGCGGAGGCTGAAAAGGCGGTTCAGGAATCCAGCGCTCCCGAGCGGAGGACCCCCTGGGGCACAATTCTCCAAATATTTTCACTTGTGTTCGCTGCTGAATTTGGTGACCGCTCCTTCCTCTCCACTATCGCCTTAGGCGCAGCTCAAAATCCTTTTTCTGTCGCCACTGGAGCCATCGGTGCTCACGCCACCGCGACAGGCATAGCTGTGGCCAGTGGAGCTTTTTTATCAAAATACTTCTCGGAGAAGCTCATCGGGTACATTGGGGGCACGCTTTTTATTATCTTTGCCCTCACGACTGCTCTGGGTATTTTCTAGAAATTGCCTTCTTTGAGCATTTGCAAGGATTAAATTGCGAAAATGGTGATTGTTAAAAAAGGCGTCAGATCCGGTGTATCTGGCGAGTTGCATTACAGCCAACGCTTCAAAGTGTGTAATGTGGATAACCTTTTGAAGGATAAAGCGACCGTTTTTGTGAAAGAATAAAATGTGTCGTCATTTGATGCGTCGAATAGGCATTGAAGGCACACCTAGCCTGGCGCTGGCGATGTCCTTTCATGCCGAGTCGGGGGAGGGGGATTCGTGCTCAGCGCCGGAATGTTGACTTTGGAAGGATTACATTTTATATCACATGGTCTCTACTTCTGTGAACTAGTCACTGGGTGGTGGTTCATTGCGAAAATTTGACCTTCAAATACCTGTGCTTCAACGCGAAAAATGTGCCGGCGGTTCGTCATCTTGCGTGTCTCGCTGTCAAGGATCGATCAGGATCCAAGGCGGATCCGCCCGGATCAGGGTAAACTACTGATTAGAACGATTCGGGTTCGTGTTCCTATTCATCACATTTGTATCACAAAAATGAGGATTGGACGGAGTAAGGGTTGTTTTAGAAGGCCATGGTTTGCTCACCGCATAGCTCAGAATTGCTGCCTCTCCACTTGAGATCTCCCCCACATTTCTACCCCTCTGTATATTTTAAGTTTGCGAAACTTAAAAGATACGAAAAGTACTCTGCCTTAAGTTATCAGCGTTAGATTGGGGCAATTTGCCCAGCATTAACCAATTCCTTCTTTCTGTCAAACCTGGCATTGCAGATACAGCTCTGATGAGGGCATGGCGTCCTTCGACTCAAGACAACTTCTAGGGTCCTCATTTATTTTTTGGATACGACAGATTCCACTTCTATTCTTGCTTGTTCAGCCTATCTATGGAGGGCTGCAGCGTCACATGCGTGATGCAGCCTT